CCTGCATCATCATTTTCGTCAGACAAGAGCTTGCAGATCTTCGGCTTGTAGGCCGCAGGGCGTGGCATCCTGGATGAAAGGAAAAGTCGATGCCCTCAAAAGCTATATCACAAAACATTCACCACGTCTTCAACTGCACAACCCAAGGCAGGCCCAACCCCTCACCCAAGGCCCAACCTTCCAAGAGGTTGTTGGCACCACCACAGCTGGTCCTCAAGAGGCAATGATTTGATAGCCCTATCCAACCCACGTGTCCAGGAGCGATTTCGTTTATCCTGATACTCATGCAACCAACACTGTCATCTCGCAGTCCTCCCGCGAAGCAAAACTTTACCAACTCCGGGCCGAACTTGTCCAAGAAAAGGTCCTGCATGTTTGTCTGGTCGTTTGAGGAAACACTATATCTTGCAATACGAAGAGAATTTTCGTGTCTAGATTGACTAGATCGGTCGGTCCTGCCCACGAACCATCATGATTCCGCACCGAGCACGGACCGAGCAGCATGAACGAGGATCGACTGCAAGAAACATGTGGAAACCTAGATGATGGCCTGCGTTCAGTTCTATGGTTAACTACCTCGTGGCACAATCGGTCCGACGTGTGGTGCCACAAATCCGTGCATGGCACAAGCAATGTCTTGAAGAGCCAGCTGCTTAATCACCACAGCGTCTGATGCATGAACTGCAGCTGAAATCACAATGCAGCTGCGCACATGCTCCTGATCCTGCACCACAATTCCTGTTTTCCAGGAAACAAGAATGTCTACATAGTTTTAGACATTTACAATATAGGGAATCAGGAATTAGGGTATTTCTCTCCCGCGCTCATTTCACAAAGGATCAGTCATGTCTACGCATCTATGAGCAAGACGGGGGGTCAAGACGGCATCATGAGCAAGATTCGTACCTAACATAACGAAATGCATCAATTGAGCTATGTTCAGCAGAGTTCGGTCCTGATTCATCCCGCACATAACGGCCCAAGGCCGCTTTAAGGGACATTTCAAGCGTATCTTAAAATAAGGGTCATTTGAAAAGCACCACGTCAGCTTTTTTAAGGGTCAAGCCGTCCACAAGGTGCTCTTCTTCGCCAGAAGGCCCCCCCGCTCACTATCAAGTGGCGGTTAGTGGTGGTGCATGCATTAAGGATGCGCAGTTCGGAACCCTTGCCCGACAACAAAGAGGCCCCGCGGCTCGGGGCAACATGTGGGAGTTTGCTTTCGCCAGTCAACACGTCCTTCTTGAGGACAAGCAAGCCCGCACCTCTGCTGCTCCGGCACTTCACCGGCACACCGGATCCGCGTGCTCTCTTTGCCGTTTGCACGGGAGCTTCACCGTCCTTCTTCTGTGCCTTGCGGGCCTTCTTACACGGGCCGTCTGTGCTGCTCTTTGCCTCCCGGTCGCCGGGTTTGCCCTTCGCCTAGTCGCCTGGGCTGCCCCCCTTGCAGCTCGGTGGACACGGAAGCCGTTCATCGTATACTGCGCGTTTGTGCACTTTGCTACCTCTACTGAGGGGATGCAGCTGGCTGCTGTTAGGGATGCTTCCACCTCCAGGGAGCAGCATCTGTCCGACGGTCATCCTGTACTTTCGCACTGTGCCGACGGCCCTCCACCGAATAACAGACCTCTGCCCACGCCACTGCGTTCCCTGCTTAAGACAGGAGGTCCCCTGCCTTCGCCCGGGGTCGGCCCTTTTCCCGGCGATCCTGGCTCCGTTGCAGGCCAACAGCAGCCTACCGAGCAAGGTGACCTTGTTGTGTTTGAGACGTTGCTCGAGGAGAGCAGCCGCGACAGCAACGGCTACCCTTTTTACCTTGCTGCCACTCTGCTTGAGACACTTGTTGAACACTTCGCCGACAGAGTTTTGGTCTCTGCTGGCGCGTACGCTAGCTCTGCTGCTGCACGACCCCTGGTTCTTTCACTTGATTCTGTCGTGCCCTGCACGCCCTGTAACATCCCTCCGGTCCCTCCCACGCCGCTTCAACTTGGGACTCTGCTACGTCGGCTCCATGTGTCCCCCGAGCCTTTGCTGCTAGGGGGCACACCCTTGGGCTTTACCAGTGAGCAAATTTCATTGTTCCTACAGCCTGCTGTCTGTTTTGGCACTCTGAGCGATTTGCTCGAGGCTCTTCCGCCCCGGCGAGCGCATTCTTTGCGCGCCTCTATGCCTGCCCCTGGCAATGAGAGAGGTTTGCTTTGCTACGTCGATGGTTCCTATACGCCCGCCACGCGCTCTGGAGGCGCCCTCCTTGGTTGGGCTTGTGTCTTCATTGATGTGGCTCTATTGTGCGTCAGCATTGTGTCCGGGCCTGCCCCCCCTTGGTTCCTGGATCTCAGTGTTGCACCCTCTGCCTTTGTGGCTGAGTGCATGGTTTTAACAGCAGCAACTTGGGTAGGATGCACAGCTTTCCATGGTCAGTCGATTCATTTTCTTTCCGACTGTCAGTCCGCCATTCGGGTCGCTGCTGGCGAGGTTTCTTCTTATACCAGTGAGGTCGCCCTGGTCCTTCGCAGGACAGCAGCCTGCTTCGAAGTCCTCCAGGGATCCCCCCTTGTATTTGACTATGTGCCAGGCCATCAGGGCCACTTTGGCAATGAAGTTGCTGATATTACAGCCAAGCTTGCCTCCAGGGGCTGTACTGTGGGCCAGCTGGTCTGGAAGGAAACCGGCGGCTCTCACCCCTGGTGGTCAGCGGGGGCCCCGCATGTTGAGTGGTGTGGCGTTGCGGCGAGAGCCCTTATCGGTGATACAGCCATGCCTCCCCTCGGTAGTGTTTCCGGTGACGCTAGGGATGACCTTGGCATGACGCCGCAACAAATGCTTGCCCCTTTCTGCCCGCAGAAGCCTGCTATCACCCCCGAAGGTGGTGCAGGTGATGGTGCCCTTGCTTTCTGCATCGCCACCTATAACGTGCTTTCCCTTAGCGGACGTGCTTTTGAGGATCGTGATCCGGCTGGACTTGCCTTTTCAGCAGGACGCCCTGCCCTGTTAGCGGCCAGCCTGGATAAGGCGGATATCCAGGTAGCCGCTATCCAAGAGGCACGAACAGAGGCCGGATTCTTGCGAACCTCGGGTTTCCTGCGCTTCTCCTCTGGCAGTGAAGTCGGCTGCTTTGGAGTCGAGCTCTGGTTTAAGGAGGGATTCCCCCTGCTTCGCAGTGGCGATGCTGGTCACCATGCCGCCACTTTCTGCCGAGAAGCATTCTCTACTGCCCATAGCGATAGTCGTCGCCTTATCCTTCACTTCCATAGCGGGTCACTGCGACTTTGCTTCGCGTCTGTACATGCCCCTCACCGAGGCACAGAGGCTGACAAGTTACATGAATGGTGGGAGCGTACGATCACTTTGCTGAAACATGCTGCTACCCGTGCCCCGCTAGTCCTGGGGGGTGACTTCAATGCTGCCGTGGGCTCCCAGTGCTGCAGCAGGATTGGGGACTGCTGGCCTGAGGAACAAGATGTTGCTGGCGCCTTCCTTGCCGAGCTTGTCACAACTTGTCAATGCTGGTTGCCCTCCACTTGGGGCCACCTCCACTCGGGCCAATCATGGACCTATGTGCAAAAGCGAAATAATGCACTCCAGCGCCCTGATTTTGTCTGCTTGCCCGATTGTTGGGAGAGTGCCCGCGTCTCGTCATGGGTCGACCCTGAGATTCATGTTGGGCAGCCTTATATTGACCACTTTGCGGCAGTTGCTCGGGTAACCGCCAGGCTCCGACTCACCGGTGGCTGCCTAGGCACTAGGAAGCTAGCTCGCATCGATGCCCATGCGCTAGTCGATCGCAACAACCGCCCTAAGCTACAGGCTATTGTGGACAAGGCCCCCCGTGCCCCTTGGAATGCGTCTGCTGATGCCCATGCAGCACAGCTTGTGGGATATCTCCAGGGGGCGCTAGCTGAGGCTTTTCCTAAGCCTAAGCAACGAAAGCGAAGAGACTACCTCACTGATGACACATGGGCACTCTATGCGCAGGTCGCTGCCTTGCGCCACCGATGTGCCCGGCTGCGGGCACATACACAGTACCATCTCCTTGCTGCGGCCTTCCGTGCCTGGTCGACCCGTGGCGCCGAGGCTTTTGAAAATGCCCTTGCCTCGCCTTGGGCCCTCGACGCCTCCGTTCAAGGCCAGAGGCACAGGGATGCCCTTAGGGGCTTGTCTAAGCAGCTTCAGCAGGCCTGCCGAACTGACAGGGCGCGACATTTGTCTAACCTTGCTGACGAGGTGCAGGCCAACACCCCGGGATCCTTCCAGGCTTTAAACCGGCTTCTAAGCCTCAAGCAAAAGAAACCTTTCGCACCTGAAGTGCTGCCGGAAGTCCTCGACGCTGACGGCCGGGTCTGTGAAACCCCCGCCGAGGCCACGCAGCGGTGGCGAACTTACTTCGGCGACATGGAGTCCGGTATCAGGTGGTGGCTGCCCGTCAAGGTCTGGCCTGGCCTCTGCCCGAAGATGTCACCGAGATACCCGGGCCCGCTGAGTTGTGCAAGGCCATGGCGCACACGCAGATCAATAAGGCCAGTGGCCCAGATGGCATTCCTGGGGAAGCTTTTAAAGCCATGCCTGCCGCCCTTTCCTCCCTGGTCCTGCCCCTTGTGCTGAAGCTAGGCCTTTCGGGCGAAGAGGCTGCCGGGTTGAAAGGAGCCCTCCTTACCTGGCTCTACAAGTTCAAGGGTGCGAGAAACCTTTGCACTTCGTACAGAGCAATTATGCTTCTGCCGACTCTAACTAAAGTCATCCACCGCTCGTTTCGCCCACGCCTGTACGAGCATGTTGTAACACACGCCCCCCCTCTGCTGCTGGGAGGGCGCAAAGGGGCGTCAGCGGTTTTTGGGAGTCATCTTACCAGAGCCTTCGCGCAGTGGTGCTCTGAACAAAAGCAGCCTGCCTGCATCCTGTATGCAGACGTTGCCTCTGCATATTATAATTCCGTCCGTGATCTCACAGCCCAGCGCTTGGATGTTGATGGACGCCCTGTTGATTCTCTTGCCACTGCGAATCTTCCTGCTGACGACAACGTTGCAGACACTTTGGCCTCAGGTAGTGCTTTTCGCTCCAAAGGGGCCTCTCCTTGGCTTGAATCATTAGCCGCGGAAATGCATCGTGGGTCTTGGTTTGCGTTACGAGGAGACCACATTCCTGTGGTCACCCACCGTGGCTCGAGGCCCGGATCATCACTCGCAGACATCATGTATAGCGCCGGAGTCGGTTGCATCATTGCCAAGAGAGACTCCCTTCGTACTGCCGATCCCAACGCCGGCCGGGTTCCTTGTATCCCGTGGGACGGCAGACGGGATGTCTCTCCCGCTGGTGCTCCTACCCAATGGCCAAGCCTGAGCGATGTCATTTGGGCGGACGACCTTGCCGCTTGCTTTCTGCTGTCTGACTCTGCCCGTGCCGCACACCAGGTCGGTCTCGAGGCTTCATTTCTTGACGAGGCCTTTGGTTGCCATGGGTATACGCTCACCTACGGCGCCTCCAAAACCGCCGCTATGGTCCTCCTTGGGGGCCGTGGGTCCAAGGCTGCCAAGCGAGCCCTCTTCAGCCGTGCTGGGGCAGTCACGGTGCTTAGGGAACACCACCCTGCTGCCTCACTCCCCCTGGTGGCGCAATATAAGCACGTTGGTGTTATGGTTGGAACTTCTTCCTTACCGAGCTGCGTGCCAGGTGTGCCTCGGCCTGGGCCGCTTTCCGGCAAGGCCGGGTACGCGCCTACCGATGCCGACGTATTTCTGTGGCACGCAGAGGCGCATTGCTACGTGCCATGGTGCTTCCAAGGCTCCTCTTTGGGGCTGGTGCCTGGCCATCCCTTCGCCAAGGAGAATATACACTGCTCCACAGAACTCTCGTTTCTATGTACCGGCAGACCCTTTGTATCCCCCGGACTGAAGATCAACACATCACGGGGGCCACAATGTGCGCGCTCCTCCACCTGCCCGACCCGGCCACAGTGCTTCGCGTGGAGCGCCTACGGTATCTGCGTCAGCTAGTCCAGGCTGCGCCAGACGCTTTGTGGGCCCTTGTTCGATCCAGCCCCTCTTTTCTTGCTGTTGTCAGGGATGCTATGGCGTGGCTGCACCGGCGGTTGTCAGCCACGATCCCCCTCGGTGACCCTGCCTGCGAATGGCACGCTTGGGCAGATACCATGTGCCGTGCTCCCGGGCGTTTCCGTGGTTGGATTAAGCGGGCCGCCGCGCTTGAGATGCTCCGCCTTACCTCCCATGCCGCCCTTCAGGCTTGCCACCGCTTCCTCTCCCATTTCTGTCCCGGGGCAGGCGATGCCTCTTACTCGGAGAGGCAGCGTCCTACTGAAGCTTGCATACCGTGCCGCAAAGC